TAGTAGTAGTAGTAGTAGTACTGTGAAACCCAACACCTCATCTGTCAAGATGACCAAGAACACCAGCGAGCATTTCGTTACGATCAGAGACAGTCAGTGCCGTGCAACTCCCGAAGAAGACGTCTTGACGAAGCCACCCATCAGAACCGAGGAGGTGCTTCCTACCCAGTCAAGAAACCCATATGTCTTACATGAAATTTTAGCACGCATTTCCCGATTCTAATTATTCATGCTCTTATTTTACGACTTTCTAAGACGCTACAGAAGAAAAAAAAAATGATTCCCGAGCTTCGAAACCTATGCCCGTCCCAGGACGCCTCTTCGAGGAGCTTTAGCCGCTTGGAAAGCCTTGAAAGCTTCGGGTTTAGGGTTCAGGCTGGGTTGAGGGTTTAGGGTTCAGGGTTCAGGCCCCTAAGCCCCAAACCCTAAACCCTAAGAAACTGCAACATGCTTCAAGCTTTCGTGGCTTCCGGCTGGCAGCACTGAGCCCAAGGTGGCTGTGTGCGCCAGAGCCACGCTGGGCGTGGAGTGGAGCGAAGCGTGCTCCAGCTTTGGTGCATCGGCCCTCTCGCGCGCCCTGGAGACCACGGCAGCGATCGTCTGGGTGGCATTCATAGCCATGCGGAGGACCACTAGGTGCGATCCGACCTGGCAGGAGACGTCCAGCCTGTACAGGCGTGGTTCCCCCTGAGGCTCGCCCTCCGGTTCAGGGCACGCCTCGCAGGGCAGCGCAGCACCCTGCTCCCCGGCCTGCTCGGCCAGAGGCACAGCCTCCGGAGCAGGCGCTACTGCAGGGGCTGCTGCGTCGGTCTCGTCTTCCGCAGTTTAGGGTTTAGGGTTTAGGGTTTATGGGTTAGGGTTCTTGTAGACACGTTCTCAACTTGATTCTCAACTCTCTAAATCTTCGAACTTCCTCTGGGGCACGGGTGGGAAAAGATGCTGTGCAACAAAGACGTACTAATAAACCCTGAACCCTACAACTCTAACAACCCTACACCCTAAACCCTAAACGCCGTAATAAACCCTGAACCCTAAACCCTAAACCCCTAAACCCTAAACGTCCTCAGAAACCCTGAACCCTAAAACTCTAACCTCGCGCCCTCCCTAAACCCTAAACCCTAAACCCTAAACCCTAAACCCTAAACCCTAAAGTCCAGACCCCAAACCCCGAAGCCAGAATCCAGCCCTAAAGGCCCCAGGACCCAAACCCTGATGTAGGTTTAGGGTTTAGGGTTTAGGGTTTAGGGTTTAGGGTTTAGGGTTTGAGGGCCATTCTACTATAATTATAATACGGATCCCCCAAAATAGCTTAGGGTTTAGGGAATAATTAGAATAGGGTTTGGGGGCCCATTATACTATAATTATAATCCCAAAATAGTGTAGGTAATGATTGAGGCCCCAAACCCTGCAACCATGAGCCTTTGGAAGACTCGTCTTGAGATCCCTATATGCCTCAGGGCACTGCTCAAGCCTTTGTATCATTCCGAACCGGGCTTCAGGCTCTCAGGGCTAGGGTTAACATACACAAGAAGTATACAGTGCGCATGAAGCTATGCTGAAATTTGTACAGGTACTGTTACAATGTTACAGATGCCAACAAAGCGAAAACACGCAAACCCTAAACCCCAAACCTCCGAGAGTAGTTTTGTTGACGCTGTTTTACAAAAGAAAGGCTCCTGTACGTAAGGCTCATGTAGGTTTTTTGAAGTGCAATGGACAATCATATTGAAATTGATCGAACTGGGGCGCCTACATTATCAGCCCCTCACGATGCACCCCATAGTTGACAAAAACACCTTAAAGCGCATCAAGGGGACCCTGCTAAGCTTTCAGGTCTGATCCCTGAACCCGAACAAATCCTGAGGACAAATACTTACGAAGTCCTTTTCGAAATTCGTGTCAAGCCCTTACGAAAACCTGATAAAAGCCTGGAGAAGAACCCAGTTCAACCTTCACAGAAGCCTTCCCAAGACCTGCATGAAACCGTTAGAACAACGTATGTAGAGCCCCTAAACCCCTTTAATATAGGAGTCTTAATGATTAGAATAGGGTTTGGGTAGTTTGTAGTATGCATATAATGAAGATTACAAGGGGACATTATTGCGACTTCTCCCGACCCCCATAACGATCCTCTTCTCTGACTCCTATTGCCCTTATCAGTATCACTACAAATGATTGGCAAAGCAGCAGCATCATTATTCGTAATCCTTACTACTACCTGTCAGTTTTATTGTTATAAGTATGATTACCAGTATCACTTGTCTTACTATTGCTACTATTATTTCTGTTGATGTTGCGAATCTTATTCCTATTATTATGATTGTTATCACATGGCCCCCGGCTCTTCGGCGTTCATCGTGCCTGTCGCATTTGCCTCTGTCACCTGCTCCTGGTAGACCCATACAGCCCGGAAGTTTAGGGCTTAGGGTTTCAGAGTTTTTTGGGAGGCTTCGTTGGGGTGGGCTCTGTTCAAAAATCCTGGCGTTTCGTGCTATACGGCTAGGGCTTCAAAAGCGATGGCTCTTCAGGTTTTTGATCAAGCGTTTACAAGGGTCTCGTAGGGGTTCTACAAAGGTTTCCGTAGTTCGTCTGAAAGGATTTGGGGAAGTGACAAGTAGGTTAGAACTAAGGCTATATAAGTAAGATAACCCGATTTAGGGTACGTAAATAATAGCTCTGCTCAAAACCTACTTCCGAACTGTCCATGCTCCAAGTGAGGATCCCTCCAATGAATGGCACAAGTTGCTGGAGTTGGGGCACATGGATATACAGCTAGGTAGATGAAGAAATAGATAAATGGACACATGGATAGGTCAGGTGAATAGATGGACAGATAGACAGGCAGCCAGCCAGCCAGCCAGCCAGGCAGGCAGACAGACAGACGGTCGGAAGGACGGACGGACCGACGGACAGACGGCCGCACGGACGGACACAGAGACACTGACAGAGCTAAATCGGTAGATAGATAGATAAACCGACAGGTAGATAGATAAATAGATAGATAGGCAGGCAGATAGACAGACAGACAGATTGGCCGACAGATAGATGCCTAGATAGACAGATGGACAGATCGACAGATAAATAAAGCCATACACAGTAATACAAATAGAAGTGAAAACTCAATAAACCGTAAGTGCTCGGTACTCGTACCTTCCATCTTTCAACGCATGGTGATGACCGCAACTTCTGCTAAGCCTCCTGTATGCGATGTTTCTAGCTGTCATTCGTTCGTGCAGTCGTCACCCACTCACTATGTTCGACAGCCCGGCACCTGATCAACCCATGTGTGTAGCTTTTGATAGCTTGTGCCAGTTTCCAATCTGCTTGCATATTGACTGTTGTCGAAGGTGTTTCGGCTGGGGGCACAGCATTCCGCATGATCATTCTGACGTCGATTGAACCTCTTCCCGCTTCCAAACGCAAGGGGCTCTCGCCTGGGACCTATACTATTTTTGGGTTCCTTGTCATAGTTATAGCATACTATATGGGCCCCAAAGCCCCATTTTAGTAATTATGAATTATTAAGGCCCCGATATTATAGTCCTTCAAACCCTAACAACAGGGAGTGCTTGTTTGCTGGGTTTAGGGCTTAGGGTTTAGGGTTTAGGGTGTAGGGTTTAGGGTTTAACTCAAACCCAATGTGAGGATTGTAGCCCCAAGCCCTGAAACCCAAAACCCTGTGCCTTAGATCCTAATGCCGCTTCCCTTCCGTTCAGAGTCTAAGTAGTAGACCTAAACTCTATCCCCACTTCAAGGAAACGAGTGGTGTTCGGTTACATCCCGTGGTTCTATCATCGCTGCCTAAAAACCTTGAAACTCAAAGCATTGACGCAGGTAGCACCTTGAACGAAAATCCAAAAGATCAACAGACCTGACGCAGCCTTGAAGCCCGGAAAACACGATAACACTGACAAGCTCTTACTGCAACCGTCATGTAAACGATAAGTTTATCAAGTCCTTAATCAGAAAACGTGCGCAACAAACCCTAAACCCTAAACCCCCAAAACCCTAAACCCTAAACCCCCCAAACCCAAAACCCCCAAAACCCTAAACCCTAAACATCCCATGTAGCCAAAATGCGATACCAAAAGCTCCAAAACCCCATCCCTACGAAGAAAAGGAGCGCCTCGAAGCCTCCTTCGGCCTCTCACGACAAGAAGCTTGTCTGTTGCTGTTGTGTTCTTTTTGCAGGCTTGGAGTTGGGTGGAGGGTTTAGGGTTTAGGATTTAGGGTTTAGGGTTTAGGGTTTAGGGTTTAGGGCTTAGAGCTTAGGGTTGGGGATGGAAGGCTTAGGGGCTGGGGATTTGAGGCTTAGGGTTTGGGGTTGTTGAAGGCTTTGGGTTCAGGGTTAAGGGGTTCGGGTTAGAGGTTTCTGGGGCGTTCGGATTCCTTCAAGGGCGTGTGATAAGAGGAGGATAGATTGGTGGGTGTTAAGGCTTTAGGCTTGAGGGGTTCTTGTGGCTTTGGTTTTTTTCGGTGTTCGTTTTCGGTTGTGATACCTGCTTCAGGCGTTTGAAGTTTAGGGCGTAGGACTTTAAGACTCTAAGGTTTTGCAGGGCTCTGTCCCTAAATCCGAAACCATAAACCCTAAACAACCCTCAACTCTGCACATTGGGTTTTAGGGTCTTGGGGGCTTTCCTGCTGGGCTTCGGGTTTAAAGCTACTTGGAGGTTCATGGGTACTTATAAGTAGGGCTCTAAGTCCCCTATTATGGGTTATAACTATAGTTACCCTACTTATACCTACCCATGAACCTCCAAGTAGGGTTTAGGGTTTAGGGTTTATGAATGATTTTTCAAACTTCGGGTGTAGAGCCTCTTTCTGTCAAGGACATTTTCAGGTGGGTATTTACCGCTATAGGAGCCTTATAGAAGGCCTATATACCTTATAGAAGCCTTATAGAAGCCCCGTATACCCTCAACTCCCCACCTGTAGTTTCCTTGAGTTTAGGGGCGTTTTAGTGCTTCGGGGCATGGGGCTTCGTAGGTGCATCGGCTTCGGGCGAAGGCTTAGGGTTTAGGGCTTAGGAAACTAAGGGATGCCGCAGGTTAGGGCTCAGCCGAAGCGGGCTATCAGGGCTTGGGTTTACGGTTAGGGTTTAGGGTTTGGGGTTTACGATTTAGGGTTTAGGGTTTAGGGTTTAGGGACCCTAAACCCTCAATCTCTTTTTCCAAGGCAACGCTATTGCCAAATGCTGAAACCTCTACATATGGTAGGCTAGGATTCAAGGTTTGGGGTTTAGGGTTTAGGGTTTAGGGTTTAGGGTTTTGGGGTGTAGGGTTTAGGGTTTTGGTTGGGGGATTCCGGTCCTGTCACGTCGGAAGCCACCCCTACACCCACTTCGTAGCTGAACCGCAACAGTCAAAGCCCTGAACTCTGCACCCCTAAACAACAACGGGATAAATCATGATATAGTGCCGTTAATGTTCGCATAGTATTGCGGTATATAGTATAGCATAGTTGCATAGCTACAATGCAGGGATACTGGTCACAATTATTCCGACCCGATATTAAAGCCCGAAACCTCCCCTCCTCTCCAATGCTCTGAAAAATAAAAGCTCAAAGCACAAACTCTCAGAATGATGAAAAACTCCTGAATAATAAACACTCCTTGTCGAAGTGCACTGTCAATAGGATCCTGGGTACCATCCCCAGTAAGCCCTAAACCCTAAGCTCTAATCCCAAATAAGCACAACGGGTGACTAATAAGGGCTCGACAACATCTGGGCACTTAACACCAGAAAGTCTGAGGTGTGGGATTTCAAGCTCTG